GTCAGCAGATTTCTTCATTTCTGATCTTTTTAAAAGAGGTGTCTGCAATTATGGCTTGTATTTCACCATTACACATTACAGATGACTGCTTCTATTTGATAGAACTTGCAATTACAGAAGTCTGGGAGCTTCTCTGTTTGCTTGCAGTCATTACCCTGTGATAAAAAAAAGATTAAAGCTAAATCACAGAAAGTAAAAACACAATTAGAAAAATTTGATTCAAATGATCAGAGATAATGTCACACCAATTTTGTGAATCTAGCTGTTGGTGAAGATGTCCTGCAAAACAACGTCTACAACACAAAGTGAGTATAAAATGATCAATGACTTTAAAGCACTGTGGCCCTCATCAGGGTAAGTAAACTAAAAAAAGAAGTGTGGATTTACTAGCATAATGTACTATTCTAAAATAGTTACACTGTGTATCTTGCATAAATCTGGCCAACTTCTGCAGCACTATGAGAAGCAGCAAAACACGGCTTAGATTTCAGTGTGAATTAGTCTCAAACTGGCATCTTTTCTTTGCAAATTTGAAACTGTGCTTAAAATAATTTTTAAACCCATGTTTGTTTGGTAGAACCAAGAAATATGGATAAAAAATTGTACATCCTTTAGTTTTACTGCTCCAACTCAGTGTAACATCCCAAAGGCAAATTTTGTGTTCCTGTCATGCAGAATAAAAGAGACATAAAAACGAAAAGGAAGCATACAGAGACAATGGGAAGGAATTTCACTTAAAGGCAGGAAATGAACACGCAAGTCAGGCCAAAGAAAAATTATTTGAAAGGGGATGAGGGATTTTTCCATGATGGCTGATATTTACAGGCAAAGGAGAAGATGAAATGTAAATTTCACTATCAAACCTGTAGAAGAATGTTAGTGATTTGTAAACCAAACACAGCAGTATCCAAGAGAAGATAAATAATTAAGCATATTCTACATTTGACATCAAACAAACAATATACAGTATGCCCAAAGACTGAAGAAAGAAATAAGTTAAATTGCATCAAAATATTTTAACAGTGAGCACCTGAATGCTAGTTTCTCTCAACTCTGTTGTTCCCCTCATTGGTTGAACTAAAACAAAACAAAAAAAAAGCTTCTGTGGTTTTCAAACAAGGTATACAATACACAAACAAACTTTTTACACCCATTTCTTCATCTATGCCTTCCATCCCAATGTAAGGGCATTTTACTGAGAACACTGAATATGCAGCATAAACTGTAGTGTGGATGGCCTTTAAAATAACATGCTTTCGAATCAGTATTAAAATTATTTTAGAGTTAACAGTGATCATAATCTGAACACACTCACTTGGATAAAAAAAATATTCTATTTAGGCCTTTTTGGAAGGGAAAAGTGGGAATTTCCCTGTGATGCACACTTGGAAATAATATTAATTTATCACCACAAAGTGCAACCAAACTGGGTGAATTTGAAAAGCTTTGTGCTCTGTAATATTTATTGTGTACATAGGATCCACGTATTGTGCCTCCCGATTTTCATTTCACAGTTTAGTTATTAACTTCACTTGAAAGGCAAATCTTAGTTGTCCACCATAAAATAAATCAGAGGTCCTTCTGCCACTGACAAATGAATGACATGCCAATTGCAGACCTGGACAGCAAATATATTACCTTTTTTAGGAGGGACTGACAAAGTGCACTTTTTCCAGCAGTTTTCCATTGTTTGTCAGACCACATTAAAGGTTGCAGGGGGAAAGGGGAAAAGAAAAGGAAAAAGTGACAGGTACAGAAAGTTATTGACTTCTAGCTGGATTAAATTTGAGGAACAACAAAACTGCTGTCAAAGGCCAGCACCTGTTTGCTCTGCCATTTCTCGCTTGTGCCTCAACAGAGCTGTGGTCACTGTGTTGGAGCCACACCATTATTAACCAGCCTCATCTGTCATCTGCCACTCATTCTAGGATGTGGAATTTATATTGTACAACAAACAGGATAATGATATTTGTCTAGGAGACAACTACTTTTATTGTTAAACTTTACTGATGGGTAGATTTTTTCATTAATTTTGCTATATATCCAGAATAGAAAACCTGTAAATCAGATATTTATTTTTATTTTCTGTATTTACAGAGGGAACAAGTGGCTCCTGTTATACTAACTCATTTGAACTCTTTGTTCTTTCTCTTCATTGCTAACTACTGTACTTTACTTGATACTTGATTATAGAGATATACAGTACTATCATGGGATGAGTTAATTGCTGGAAAAATTCTACTTTAAAAAATACATAAAGTGTCTGAAATGTTAGAAGTTTCTAATTAGTGTGTAGTGGGTCTTATAGTTTAGAAAACTCAAGATCATTTCTTGGCTGTACAATAAGCCTGCTGTTACCCAGCAATGAATCTCTCAAATGAAGGGAAACGATATATTTGGATACTCTATTATATATTTCAGTTATTGTTTGTGATACCCATCTAATTTGAAACATCCAGGAGTGTGTTATTTTTTCAAATCAATAATGTCTTGGTTGCCATCAATATTAACATCAATAAAGTGTTTCCAGCTATGAACCCAGTGACTACACACTGGGGAGATAAAGAAATCTATTGAGAAATTCCACCAAACCCACCCACCTTTGAGCTATACATACATCTTTTAACGTCACAGGCACGTGGCGAGTCACATTGCCAGAAGCAATGCATAGAAAGAAGCCCAGGTCACTGTGTTGATAAGAGTTCAGACAGACTCGGCTGACTAATATTAGCCTAACCTTGGCAACACTCAAGGGAACAAGTAATAGGTTTATTCCATGCTGAAAAAAAGAAGAAAGAGAACACAACGTTTCGGCCGTGGAGCCTTCTTCAGCCTTCAACACTCAAGTACTGGCTTGAATGAGCAAACATACTGTAGAACTCAGATACAACTTTTACCAACTGAGGCACTGGGGAGGCCCCTCAAGTTTATTTCAATTGTCTTCTGCTCAGGAGCCCCATGCCAAGCACACTTTAAAACTTCTTAATAATACTTCACCCTTTTCAGTGGGTCTTTTTTACTTTGATTTCCTTTTAACGCTGTCAATGAAGTTTAAATTAAACATCTGATCCTGCACTTCACACCTCTCTTCTAGTTCATCCATGAGTGTCGATCATCCTCTAACACTTCCGCCTTTACTCAACTCCCATCTTTTGTTCTCCCACGCTTGATCAACTTCCGGTTTTCCCCTCTCCCTCACACTTGAAGAAGGCACCACAGCCAAAAAGTTGTGCCTCCTCTTTTCTTTTCAGCATGTTCCTTTGCAGCCTATGCGTGCTGATGCAGCTACCTACAGTACTTGGATGTGATCGTGCAGACTCACAGAATTGCTTAAGGTGTTGTCTTCTGAAAGTTTGAGAAAAAAAGGCATACTTGATTAAAATTAACCAGTGGACAAAGGTTAAAGATGAGTGAAGCAGTCGCTAATGAGACAGTATGACAGGAATGAAAAAAGGCTGCTGTAATTCTAAACATGATGAACAACTTCAGACAGTGACTCCAAAATGCTGTTTATTAATTAAATTTATTTAACAATTCCCCAACAAAAAATAAAAATTAACATTACAGAGTTTATTTATAAGCAGCTGACCTCTTTCTGTATTCAAAGAGGCCCCCTTTGCAATTTCATGGGCTGATTATAGTATCTTTGTTTTAAGTTTTAGTATTCCCTTTTCCTTGAAACAAAGGTAATAATGGCATGCATACTGTATGAATGCACATGAGATTTTGTGTCATTCCAATTAGGTTTTCATTAATTCATGTCTTCTGGTTGTGAAGGTTAAAGGTCTTTCACGGATCGAAAGGAAGTGGAAGAGCTAAAGAGGTATCGTGTAAAGTTTCTCAAGATATTTCTGAACACCTTACTTAATTACAGTTCAACACATCAGTCTCACTCCATTAGATTTTATTTTGCACTCCCAAGAGCATAAATAGCAACATTCTCAAAAGGTTTTTTCTCATTTGTGACTGCATACAGCCAGAAAAGATAGCAACTGTCTGGCCATATATTAATGTCTTGAAAAGAGCAGGTTTACAGTGATACACTTGGATAACCTCTTAAACAGAGCTCATACAGTATAGGTATTATTGATAATGATAATGATAATAATTATTGGTAATTCCAAGACTGGGACCACTCTTGGGCTCATGTTAGTGTCAGTGTGTTCCTTTCGATGGACAGGAGACCCATACAGGGTGTATCCTGCCTTGTGCCCATGGCTTGCTGGGATGAACTCCCCTGAAACCCTGGCAAACCCTTGGCTAATGAGCAGAAGTGACTCATCATCAGAAGTGCTGCCACATGAGCTGGAATTATCCTTTATTCACCTGGGCCCTAGTTGAAGTTATTTTGAGCCTCAATGTACTTTCTACTTTTTTAAATGGAGTGAAGGATATTCTTGTGTATTTCTTGCTTGGGTCAGGGGGATTATTTTTGCATATATCATTTTTTTAGGAGAATCTGGGGCCAAGGCATCAGTGCGCCCCCCCCACTCTGTCAGATCTCACAGCGAGCCCCCATCTAGGCTGGGCTAGGCTGTAGCAGCCAGCCTCCATCCTGAATAAAGCCACTCCCAGCCCTACTTGAGATTAGTCTTTTAACATGGTGGGTATGGCCCTCATTTCGTTTTATTGATTAGGTCTTCAGAGGTTTTTCTCTGTGACAGCAGTTTGAACCCAGAGTTTGAATGTGCCGCACTTTAACCTGCAGTGGGAACAGTGGCTGTCATCTCCAGTGCTGAAGTGTGATTACTTTTGCTGAACCCTATTCTGGGATTACAAAGGCAAGTGAGTGACAAATAAAAGTCACCATCATCTAGGTCAGATATAAAACGAAGAGCGTTATAAAATGAGAATTTAAAATTGCCTATTGAACTTTAAATTTGACTAATGGACCTCAATCAGGTCCATTAATAAATGTCACAAAGTGATATTTACAAAAAGTTCAGGAAGTCATCTTCCTTGAGCTTAAACAGAAGAAGACTTTCCACTTAGGAGCATTCTTGGGTGATGTACAGTATATGCCAAAAAGGAAAATGGTCCTTTACTGTGTTTGGTTGTTTTGGCCAGGATTTCTCACTCACAGAAATCAAATTCCTTATCAAGGTCCTGATATTTCTCTCAGTTTTCTTTATGTACTGTATGCCATCACTACCTTTGTTATAAATTGTTATTTTTTAGCTTATTCTGTTAAGGACTGGTAAGTAAAAACTACAAAAGTCAATTCTTGATTCCATATTCCATATCACATTAAGGTGTGTTGTCTAGGTAATAGAAGAGTTACACCACATGTAAACTACCATAAAACTGATACAGTAGTCCATAATCCTTACTGGAAAGACAGAGCTGGGAAAAGGAATGCTGTCCAACCAGGTGATTTCCCCTTCTGAGCGACAAACATACAGAAAAAGTGGGCAGCTCAATATTGTTTTCTTTAAGACATGTCCTGCATCAACAACAGGCTCAAATAGCGGTTTGTGCTTACAGAAGACATCACATTCAGCAAAAAACTTCAATGACTGCATAGCCACCAGATGAAACTGTGTCCTATGCAAAAAATCAAAACAGCTTGTTAGAGAATGTCAGCATTTCTTTAAGGGGGCTTCAACCTTACTGTTGCTTAACTTTAAGGTTGAACCCTTTCCATTCCTCAATCAGATACTGTTGCCCCAACCACCAAATACATCTTTATTATGATTAAAAACAATCAAGGACAGGGACGTACTGTAGGAGCAAGTGATTTTTTTCACAATATGTTCTACCTGTTTTGGACAAAGGAAAACTGTTGGACAAGTATGGGGTGGGAAGAGATGAAGATTCTTTAAACATCAATCAAGCGTGAATCGGAACACCACAGTCCTTATTTGGGAGGCTGGCTTTTTAACGTAGTAGTCCTAGAAGCTCTGGTAAATGGTGTGACTCACTTCTTTCAAAACCCCATTGTGGTAGTCAGTGTCGTACAGGCCACCCCAGCACCCTCACAATGAAGCAGAGTTTGATTTAGAGAGAGAAAAACAGAGAGAAGTAGAGAAGAAGCACTTGTCTTGAGCCTCCCTCCCCTACCAATTCTTCCCCTTCAGTCGGCATAGATGATGAACCCAGAAAAGGTGCTGTACTTGTTGTTATTGCCCCCATGGGCTTTGCCTCCATCTAGCTTGATATAAACCTCGTCTCCCGCGTCCAGATGCAAGATGACACTGTTGCTGGCGTAGTCGTAGTTCTGGTCTGCATCCTGGGCGATGGCACTGGCTCGTACCTGAGGAGGAGAAAAGACTCAGTCAAGAGTCAAAGAAATTTCTTAGTATGCTGGGGGTGTAAAGTACTTTTTGCACTGGTGCCCTATTCATCCAAATGTGAAAGATTTAGTGAATTTTCTTTGCTCACCAGCTTAAATATTTGACAATCCTATTTCCTGTACTAGTAACTCATAGTATCATAGTATCATAGCATGACTCATTTCAGTCTTTACTTTGTACTCTTTACTTAGGTATTATGCAATTTCTGGACCTTGGAACTGTGGTTAAATCAATGTCAATGAAAACTGTTCATAAAATCTGTAAAAATTAATTAGCTATTTTAGGGAATGCAAATCACACATAAAAAATTCATAAATGTTTAAGACTGCTGAAGCCATTAATAAAAAAATCATACATTACTTTTTAAATTAGTTTTACCTACTATAAAACAAGATATTTGGCACAATATTACTGTTTTCAGCAGCACTATTGGTTATAATGGGCTTATACAACACCCATTTTGAAGTGTTACAGGAATTTAAAAACACCATGGGGAATTTGCCTGTAAAATTCTATATACATTTTTACCTCTGTCTAACCAGCAGGCTTCTCCATCTTCCTTTATTTTGGAATCTAGTATGCATGAAGTATCAAAGGTCAAATAATTATTATTTATGAAGCTACTGTACAGCGTCCAAGCATGTGATGCCATACAACTCTATTTTTTTCATGCTGTGGAAAAATGAAAGCAATTGCATAGACAGTGGCTATATTTACTGTCAATTAATTTTAGAACATAAGCTTATCATAGAGCATAAATCAGTTAAACATCAATTAAACCCTTTTTATCTCCTTTAAAATAGCTTTCAAATCTTTTTGATCTTTCAAATAATGCACAATTGTTACTACAAGACTGACAATTTTTTTTTAAATCTCCTGTACTGTTTAGATTGTGTTCCAAAGTGTTCCACTGGGTTACCTTTGTTGATGTATTGCTTCTAACTTTCCCTGTGAGCGAACTATGGGCAACATGCCTAATTCATTTCTAAAGGAGTAGACAGTTTGCCCACAAGGGGGAAAAAGGCCATTGTCTCTTTTCTTTCTCGCCTTATTTCAACATGCGGAACCTGTGCTGAATATGCATTTACCTCTTTTGGGTATTATTTGCATATATACAGTGCAATAACTCTATATAAAGAAATCAAAGACTATTTTCTGTTCGTCTCTCATTTTGTAAATTTTTGAAAGTTCACCAAAATGTTTTTTTTTCCTTTAAAGACAACAAAGTTTGTGAAAGATAGGATCGCATCTTCTTCGTTTGGTTTATAATTGTTCTGAGGATCTCATTCAGTCATTCAGGAGCAAAGACACTGGCTTCAACTATGGGACAGAGTACAGTACATGGTTCCACACTCACACAACCAGTTGAGCACAAACAATGCCTTGTTCCTGTGTTCTCTGTTGAGTTACACAATAAACAGCATTGTTTTTCTTTATTATATTATGTGAGGTGCAAAGACTAACCATACAATTCGTTTTGCATTTCTCCAACTGAACCTATGCATCATCAATTTCTAAATAACATGAGCTTCATGAGGCAAAAGTTACTCTATAAAATGTATATACAGTATATATACTGTACATATGTAACTATCAGACAAGACAAGCTTGCAGTTTGTGAGTATCATTGTTATGCAGATGAGAAGTGTGAAAGGAAGGGATCTCACAGTTATTTTTTTTCAGAACCTGAGAAATTGGTTATTTTTGGGCTGCAGGATCTTGGTGTTTTTCCCTGACACTTATACTCTTTTGTAACAATTTGGCTCATCTACAGTACATTTTTCAATTGTGTTTTAATGTTAAAGCACAAGGTAAGACTAGGCTGAAGGCTGAAATTACAGAAAAAAATGTGTTTAACACATTAAGATGTTTCATAGTTGTAACTGAGATATACAAAAGTATTAAATATGCATTAAAATAATTATTTGAGCAGAAAACCTTCAGTTGCCACTGTTTGCTTCCTTTTTATAGTTCACTTCCAAAGAGCAACATTTTATTGAATTGATTTGATCACTATCTGATGATACCATGTACCAAATACCATGAAAAAAAATCTGTGAAGTAAAATAAATATTTGTATGGGACTTTATTTAACCCAGCATGGCTAATCTTAGAACTCATAATAATATAATGCATTTTGTTTTATCCCCAACCACCTCAGACAGTCATAAAAAATGAAAATACTCTTTTAAATTGATCTTTCTGTATTAATTGTATCACTAAACAAATAAAAATGAGCTAACAGATATCAATTCAGTGTACCTGAAGCCCAATCTACACATTAAACTATGATTAAGCGAACACTTTGCATTGGACTATATTCAATTTCATGGCTTTAATCATTTTCACTATAAGGCACAGAGGCTGATATTGAGGTGGAACATGATAAATATGCATCTTTATAAAGGGAGCATCAAGTAAAGCATTTGCATATTGCATGTGATGAGGGGCTTCTGCTTCTATACAACCTATTTACCTTGTCCTAGTAATGATGACTTTGCCCACATTAATCTTGGCAAGCACACACCATCATAAGAAAAGCATGAGTGCATGCAGGCACTCATATTTGGCATCCCTTCTTTTGCATAATTATTCTTGATCCCACCTCCCTATACACTCTTTTATTAAAACCTACATTTTCTCAGCTTCTCCTATAAAGATTAACCCCCTACTTTCTCTACCTTATTTCCTATTTTAGTTTTTTTTTTAAGTTGTTTTTCGGTTGATTGTATTTGTTCCCAGTGATCAACGTTTCGCAGCTCACTGAGTTGTTGTTGTCGTTTCCAGAGATAGATTCAAGAGGAACCAAGGACAGAACTTTAGGGGACACCAGCTTGGAATGATTAAAGAGAAAAGTGTGCTAGGAGGCCTAATGTGTGAAATCATTGAGGTAGCAGCTGGTAGTGTTCCATAACAAAAGCCTCATGATACGCAGTTGAGGAATTAATAAATCAGTTCAGACTATAAACCTTTATTTTCTGATCCCAAAGGCAGAATTCTCTCAATAGCAATACCTGTTAAGACATCATAGGTGGATAAAAGGGTCTGAGAGTTCCCTGGATTTTTAAATTTTATGTAGCTTAGATGCCTTTCAGTCTTTTTTTCCATCAGTGTACCATGGGCGTCACCTTGCCCTCCCATCCATTGCTGATCGAGTCACCAAAAAGTTGTCTAATCTCTCTTTGATATTACTTTTGTTGTTTGAAAATAATCCCACACTGGAGGAATCTACCTCTACATTTGACAAAGAGCTACATAGATAGTTGGATGGTAGTCCTCACTGGGATGCAGTCTTGGACAATACAGTAGGTTTTCTTCTCCAATAGTATTTTTGGATGTAAATAGTGTTTCTGTGCCTCTAAACAAGCAAATATTCAGCGACGACTCCCAAGTTGTCATCAAAATTGAGGCACAGCTGTCTTTGTCACAGGTTTTTCAAAATGAAAAGATGTATTCACTGTCTTCTATGTGAACTTATTTTTACAGGATGTCCTTATTCCTAGTCATTTAAGCAACACAGAACATTTGCTCTACTGTCATATGAATGATAGAAATTTTATACACAATCTGATGCTATCATTGCTCTTAAGAAGAGTCATCAAAGGCTACAACATTGTTTACATGGGGTCCTACCTATCTTGGGGGTTTTAACATTTGTGTACTTGAGGCCAGTATATTGTTGCCTCAAAAAGTGGGTTAAACTGTCTGTCTTTTTTTTTTACCTCATTCCATCCCATCATAACCCTTTCTTCAACTCTTTAGATCATTCTGCCTAGAAAACAGAAAGGTTCTTATTGTTTTAACCCTATGGCTGGGTTGTGGTTGCCTCAACATTGAGTAATGACAATGTATACAATGCAAGACGTTGTACATATATAAGCGATTCCAATATTATTTGGTTTGAAAGAAGCCACACCACAACCTACTTGTTATGCACTTTTAATTAAAACATTTACCCTAAGCCAGTACCTAATGTGACAGGTAATCCCTATAATATTCAGTCACAAAGAGGGCCTAATATTTTATGGTATGTTTTATTCTGTGGGATTTATAGCATAAGTAATTTAGGCACAATCCCAAGGGCAAGAGAGACCACACATGCAAGTCTCAGTAAGTACTGCCAGACTATCCACCACTTATCATCCAGCATGCCTATTGCACTAACTGGATCTTAAAAGGGATAATTTTGGGAAGCTCTCATTACAATTAGTGCTTGTAGCCATAGGCTGGTTACAGCAGTCACTATAGCATGGAAAGCCCAGTAATACCTGGCAAACTTTAAATTGCCTGTCTCCTGGCAATATTTTACTGCCAGTTGGGAGCTTCTGGTTATAGCTGGCTATTGCTGTAATATAGCTCTGCACCAGCTGGCTGTAAAAATCTGTATTCTGAGCGATTGAACCACTTGGGAGTCCAGTGTCACAAAACATTTCTCACACTGTTATGAGTCAGAAGCTTATCTTTAACTATTTCAGTGGAAAATCATTTTTTTCCTCTTTTAATTCAGATGTAGATGGAAAATGACAGAGCTATTATGAATTTAACAGTTTGCATAAGTCACGAGATCTAGCAATAAATCACTAGGACTGACAATCTAACAGGTTTTGATTACTGGTAACACTTTTGCCCTCCAAGCCCTCAATCGAGGGAGAATCACCATATAAATGGTGCAGCATTATTTCTCTTTGAAGAGGCTATTTACCGTATATGAAATAAAAAACTGACAGGAACAATTAATAGGTATTTTCGCTCTTTGTAACTGTTTTTTTCATGAAGTTTCAACCTGACTAATTAAAAAGCATTGCTAAGGAAAGTTGAGTACTCTGTTGTGAATACAACTGCATACACTTGTGCTACAGCATGATCACCGTTAACTGACTCTATTCTATTTACAGGTAGCGCCAGATTAAATCAAAGCCTTGAACTCATACGTTCTACATGAGGTACTATGTATTCACTT